AGTTTTTTAAATAACAAACCATAAAATCCAACAGTTTTTTTTTTCTTCAAATATATTTACACCTAAAAAGGTATTTATCTTTGGTATCAACAGAAAACAAGTAGACAGTTAAAGAGTAAAAAAACGGTTGACTGAAAACTTAAAAAACTGTGTCAGGAAAACAAGAGAATGGAAAAAAATTCTAAAACACCGTTTTTGAAGAACAAAGGATGTTTAAAGTTATAGCAAATAGGGAAGTCGTGCTTAATTAATTTGTTTTTGGATCCTTTCTGAAAAAATAAGAATTTCATTAAAATAATCAGCCAAAATATGACAGCAGTGTTTTATACAAGGACGAATAAAAGGCTTTTAGAGGTAGAAAATGACAGAACATGTAATAAAAAATAATCTAATGCTAACTTTGCAATAAGTTGTATATATGATAGGTTTGCAGTGAATGATGATTTGAGAAGACACGCCATTTTTTTAATTTAAAATTCATAGTTTAGCGTCATCTATTTTTATTTTCATTCCTTAAACATTTTTCTCAATACGCAATGGATGTTAAAATATCTGTTTTTTACAGTGTGCACGCAGGCATAGTACGCATACCTTCAAGATCTGCTAACCATTTTTTAACATCTATCGAAATACAATGTGTCTGAATTGTTTTCTATTGTAATTATATAAGCACAATCAGCTACGTTTACACATTTTTTTTTCTTTTTTTGTGTGTGATTATTATTATATTGACCCAGATGTAATACCCTGCAGGATATCTGATGTTTAAACTTCTGCCTCTGGATCTATTAATTTTATGCAAGTTTAAACATCATACTTTTTTAATGTAAGCCTGTAAATTTTTATATCGTTTAAATCATGTTAATGTTTTCTTCGACAATTTTTAATTACTTTCAACGAAATCAATAAACATTTCTGCAACTTAAATTTTATTTTCTTAAAAATCTAATAATTTTAGTGCTTTCAAATATCATGCAAAAGACTTGCCTTATTTGATCCAATTTTGGACTAAATTACAACTATCTAAAATTATTCAAACTATTTATCATAGAGTAGTTTGTAAAAAAATGAATATATACTTTTCTAATAGTAAATTTTCAAAAGTAAAATTTAATAGCAAACTATCCACAATCCTAATAGCTTATAAAACCAGTTACGATTAAATTTTTTTGTTCTGTCTTTTGATGTGATATAGTGATATACATTGTGTGATATACATTGGTGTTTTTTTTTTTAATCTAAAATCGACGTCTAAATATTGATTTGCGAACTGACCTTGAAGCACTATTAAGTACTTAGGCCGTAATCCAACATCTTTCATATAATGGATAAAGTATTTTGTACAACAAACTTTTTATCAAAACATGATGAACCTTCTACTTCATTACCAGTACGTGTGGTAGATCTTTGCTTTCCAACAACATTAATTTTTTTTTGTTTTTTATCTATAAAAAATAATTTATTTATATTTAAGTAATTCTACAATAAATATAGAAAAGCAGCTCCAAAATTTGTGTTTCCAGTGCAAATCGCACTTATTGCATCCTCTAGGTACGCCACTGTGTCTTCCATTTTCGTGTTCTTACTATAAAATAATCTACAATAAAAGTAGTTAGTTTATATGAACTGGGCATCTAACGAAGCTCTGCTTTAGTAGACTTTATTCTAACGGCAAAATCGTATTTATTTTTAAATTCGTTTACGCAATGTGAGGAACAGGAACAGAAGAAGACAAGGCATTCCATTGGAATGTCATTCTAATAGGTAGAAATTTCTTATGTTAAAACTTTTCAAATTGAATCAATGTCGTAATAAAAGCTTATAGAAGGAATAGAAGTTTCCTTAAAGTACACAAATTACCAACGAATAAATTAACGGAAAGCAGCTACTTCATTTATGAAACTATTTTATATATCGTCACGATCATTTCACAAGCCATTATTTGTTTTGAGAAGACAAAAAAAGAACTGAATAAAAATTCGCTCCTTCTTCATCACAAAAAAAAAAAAAAAAAAAACAATTAAAAAAACAAACATTTCAACAATAACTCTGAATTAAAACTGATTTAGGTGATTGTGAAATTATCGTGACGGTTTATTAGATGATTTAAAAATGCAATTTTTGAGACCAGCAAATTTCTAATTCTTCAGTGATTTTATAATTTATAAGAAGACATTAAACCTATTGATTAAAGTGGTTATATTTTTAAACTAGTTTGAACAATACTTTGAATAATACTACATTACAATTAAAAGATATTTGTAACAAATACCTTTTTATCAATTTAGGCTGACCAAACGAAGTAGCGGGTCAAAAAGTCGGATCAAACTTTCCCGTCTTTATTTGATCAATCATCTTTGTTTGCAACTACCCCGGCCGGCCTTAACCGCCAGGACTGTTAATGACATTTTAATGGTATTCTTGTTTTTAATTTTTGATTTTTATTTAGTTTAATGATAAATATTATTTATACTTTATAAATGACACTTAAATTTATAATTATTTTAAAACTTCATATTGTCTTGTTAAAATTTTTTCAGTATTATATTCGAAACATTTTGACATGATCAAGCTCGTAATGACAATCAATCAGCATCAAGTTTTCATACTGCTAATTTTATTTTAAAAATTTCTGTTTTGATAACATTTTAGTATTTCATATTTACTATACTTAATACCTCTGAATTAATATTTCCCTAAATTTTTAGAGCGTTCTTATTACTTTTTAAAGTATCAAGTGGTTATTGTTTTAGACTATCAGTTATTTTAAAAGTGTAATTTTTTAGCAAATCTTTTCAAAATTCAGATATGATTAATTGTTGAAATTGTCCCTTTGAGTATTATAAAAAAAAACAATGGTCTTCAAAACATATCAAAAAAAGTTTCAGGTCAAAAATGGTCTGATTTTATAAATCCTCCAAAGCCTTGAGAGATTTTTTAAGGGTTTTGAAAAAACAGTGTTTTAAAAAGTCTCTTAATTTTAATGGCTTTTCTACTTAAATTTCCTGTTAAAAAAAAAGATTTTTATTTGACTTTAGAGTTGTTTTTTATAATGACATGTCTTTCTTTTCCATAGCAAAACAATTTTTATAGCTTTTTATAACTTTTTAAATTTTTTTAATAAATTTTCGTATACGTTAATTAGAGATTAATTAAATACACTCAAAAATATGCTATTAGTTTTACTCTGATGATTTTTTCCTACAACCTATGCAACTTGAAAGTACAACCTATGCAACTTGAAAGTTGCATTTGTTGCTCTTGTTTAAAAAAAAAATAAAAAATAGAATAAAAGTTGATATAAATCTTTGATCTTTATAATCTATTACTAATACCTTAAACCAAATAGTCTATTTAATAATATCTAAATAAGGTTAATCTAATATTGTATAATATATACAAAAAAATAAAACCATGAAAAATAAAAAAGAGTACACATATATGCATGCACATATATATATATATATATATATATATATATATATATATATATATATATATATATATATATATATATAAAACGGAATAACTATGGACATGGCATTTTATTTGTATCTGCTTATTATCTGAAATATAATAAAAATAATAGTAATAAATAATAATAATAATAATAATAATAACACTAAACATGCTAACATTAGTATTGTGCATAGGAGCCATAGCTGGGAAAAGAAAGAATGGTTGGGATAAAAAGCTGAAGAAATATTGCTGTTATGAGACCCAATAAGAATTAAGTAGTGTATAAATGCAGGTGATTACCTCTTTAAGACCAGTATTAATAACCAGTTTATGAAATACAATTAACTTCTTTTAGTTTATAAAGGTAAAAATCTTAGAATTTTAAAAAGTGAATTTATAAAAAAAATAGCTTTAAGTATTATATTCTTTTTTATGTAAATATCAGACAAAGATAATAGTTTAAAAGAATAAATATGGCTGATGTTCGTAGTCGATCTAGAGTTTATGCAGATGTCAATACTCACCGACCAAGAGAGTATTGGGATTATGAATCACATATTATAGAATGGGGGTAAGTGAGTTGTTATAGTTTAATATAAATAAGAAACTATTGTTACCACAAAAGTTATTCATTTTTACACAAAACATTTTAAATTGCTTGTTGTTTTTTTTATTTTAATAAGAATTTTTCATTTACAAACTAAATCATTCAGCAAACATTTTAAAATGATTTTGTTGTCTCAAATTAAAATAAGGTTTATTTTAGTATAGAGATCTTTTTTGATCTTATATTGTGGTCTTTGTTTAATTTAAAGTTAAATTATTTTAAAATTTCAACTTAAAATATTTTTAAAAATGATCCACAGAAAAGTATCGCCTTGGATGCTCACTAAAAATGCCTCAAGCTCTGGCACTGGAGCTTTATACCCTTAAAGAAATAATCATGGGTGGCATCATACTTATTAAAGGGGCTTTAACACCACTTCTGGTTTAAGAGATTTATTTATGTATTTTTATGTAATATATTATTCATTATATTATTCATTAGTCAATTAGGAATTAATAAAAAATTCTTGATTTCTTACATCAGTTGCACCTGTAAAAACTAATTTCAATTTTGAGATGTATTTGCTTCTGCCGTATTGGTACAGAATCAAATGATTGATATCTGACTTTTTATTAAAAATGGTTCCTAATCATTTTTACAAATATTTATTTTTTGGGTATTTTTGCTTTGTCAGACATACTATTTAATTGTCTCCAAAGTGATAATGATTATTAAATGACTTCAGCTGATGACTTTAACTGACATCTGCTGATCAAAAAAATAACAATACTGTTACAGCTGAATAAGTAAATTTACGAGTTTAATTGTAAGAGTGTCAGTGGTGTTTTCTGGGTGCGGATTCACAACTCTTTCATAAGTCCAAAATTTGCATAAAGTTTGCATAAGTTTTGCTTAAGTTCAAAGTTATGCAAAGTCATATTCACAAACCTTGCGTAAGCAAAAACTTACGAAATTCCTAAGTTTTTACGTTATTACTTATGCAAAAAGTCTTTAAAAAAATAGTATTCACAACATTTTCCTAAAAAGTGCTCAGCAAACTTTACGCAAGAAAAGTTACGTCTGTTATTTTTTGACTTAAGTTTGAATCATCTAATAATATTATAAAATGGCGTTTTTATTATTGTAAAAGATTTCAGATTTTGTTTGTTATTGCCAATAAAATATAATTTTATATTAATTTTATATTGCTATACGTTAAGTTATTTTTTAAAATAATACAACTATAATTTTTTTTTTAACAGCAACAACAATAGCAATATATTTACCAAAAATCTAGATGTACTACATAAACTTGTTTTATAAAACTTGTTTTCACCTTAAATTTAAGGTATCTATACTATACTATACAAAAATGTCTATACTATACTATCTATACTATACTATCTATACTATACTATACAAAAATATATACAATAATATTATTGAAGCATATATTTTATTTTGCATAACTAGCATAAAGCAAGAGAGAGTCTCTCTCTGTGTGCGAGAGAGGGATATATAGTGTGCCAATATAGATACAATATTCACAAAAATATGCAATTTATTTATTAGTTTTTCAAATATCTTTATATATATATATATATATATATATATATATATATATATATATATATATATATATATATATATATATATATATATAATATATATATATATATATATATATATATATATATAAATGAGAACAAGGGTATTTCAAAACAAAATAATGTTAAAATTATCTCTGAGTAATCAGGCTATTAATAAAACAAAATATTTAAACCTAAATATTAAACTTGCTTTGAATAATGATGCTATGTTTTTTGATAATTTTAGTTATCCAGAGGTGTTAACAATATTAAGATTATTTGGAATAATATTGCTCTGTTGTTAGTTATTTCAATTATCAAGAGATAATAATATCTATTGATAATTTAAATTATTAAAAAAAGAGCATTGTTTTTCAAAGCCTAATTTCTTGGTAAATAGTATTATTATTTGCAAATAATAAACATATTCTATGATAGTTTAAATTGTTTTAGTAGATCTTTTATTTTGTATTTCTATATAAAATCTCATTGTTGTAGTTTATTATTGCAAAGAGCATAATTCCATAAAAAATTCCTTGATACAACAGTTAGTCCAAATGGAATGTTTTTCACAAATCAGTAGAATTGTTATCTGTTACTTTTAAAAATAGTATTACAATTCTTGAGATGAAAGCAAATTGTTCACTTTGGTTGTAGCTATTAGATTGTACTGTTTTTGGTGTTTTGAAAACCTGTTACTTGTTGTTCTGATTGAATCAATACTTGCTCTGTCTCAATGAGTCAAACTTTTTATATCAAATATAAGAATGTTTTTATTCATGCAAAAATGGTATCATAAATTCTCAATCAGAAATATCACTGAAAAAAACTAATAAAAAACAAGTGGATTTTATTTCAAATTCAACTTTTATTAATTATGTTATTACAACTGAAACTGTACGCATCAAAGTTACAAATGTTGATTTATATCGACTAGATAGTCACACAGCAATAATGTATTTTTCATAATATGTTATGGAAAAGTTGTTGAACTTTTGTTTATGTTTTCAAATGTTCCTTATATTTCTGATAATTTGAATTTTGTTTATAAATAGTTTTAGTTTATTTTTGTTTATAAATTAACTAGAATACAATCAATAGTATTTCTTGAATTTATTTAAGTTATTTCTTTAAGTAATGAAACTGTCATTCCATATAGCAAATAAAATTGTTGATTCAATTCAACTATGTGATAAAACAAGACCATTAAAAAGAAAATTTGAAAATTATTATGATGTTTTCTTATACCCTAGTGTGTGAGAATGTTAAAACAAGAAGTTAAAACAAAATACTTTAGTTTAGCACTTCCATTATTTTATGAATGTGAAATTTTTATGCTAAACTAAAGTACTTTGTTTTAACTTCTTAAAGCTATGCTAGACAAGTTGCATGATCTGCGCAGGGGTGAACCCAGACTTTTTTTTGGAACAATAGGACCAGTATGGGCGCAAAAAAAATTACTCAAAATATTAATTTCTTGTTGTTTTTCTTTTTCTTTTTATATTAAAAATAGGAAAAAAAAGTTCTTTTAAATGCTATATTTTAGCTACTTCATTTAGCCAGTGATGTTTGCAAAAAAGGTTTGCGGCAGGGTTAGGGTTTTATAACTCGCCACATCCAAAAGGTATCTTAAAAATAAATTCTAGGTTTATCACTGCTAAGAAAGTATAAGGAAAATAGCAGAGGCTAAAAATAATTGATTTTTTAACTATTCAAATAGTTAATAAACAATTCAAAAATTATAATATTAAAATAACTGTAGTATACAGTTATTTGAATGATTAAATAAAACCAATGGGCATTCACTGATGGCATCATACAGGAAGCCAAATAGTTATCTTATATAAGTATATATAATATTATATTTACAATAATAGATGTGAAGCTTTTTGTTAATAATTAATATCTCATTTAAAAAACCAACCGACTCTCATTTGGTAAATTTTTCCAATTTTCAATTATTGATTATTTTTCTAATAGATATTCAAAATAGATTGAAAAACTGTTTATGCTATATATGCTATTACTTTTAAAAGTAGCTGCTTGTATTTTCTATATGGGGCTATTCAAATACTACAAGACACTTTTTTTGCAGTTTTTAGACTCAACCCCCACCCTCTTCGTGATGTAACATTTTTAAACAAATATATCTTTGAATTTGTTACTTTTTTGCTTAAAGTTTAATAATCCACTGTGATTAGAATTTAAATTTTAAAACTTTTGTCATATCACACTGTAGCTAACCACCCTCTCTCCCACGTAATATTTAGTGACACTCTCAAACACCCTCCCCTCACACACACACCACCACTAGCTATTTAAGAATGTCACGTATTATTTGAATAGCCCCAATATGCTTTTGCTATATTTTTAAGTTTTTTTTTTTTTTTTTTTTTTTTTATTCCTTTCCCCCAAGGCACTACAGTCGAAGAAGCTACTTTTTTTTTTTTTTTTTTTTATTTCTTTTTTTTTTTTGTTGTAAATCGTGGTACAACCCTCTCTCAACTCTTTAACTCCGAAACACGAACCTTGACAAGCAAGACCGCTGTTTTAAATTAAGTTGAGCACCGTACTTCCAGGGGCGTGGTGGGAGTCAAACTCTGAACTTCTCGCTTGCAAAGCTAGCGCTCTTACCACTACACCACTACCGCATATAATTATAAATATAGCGACAAAAAAAATAAATAATTAAAGTCTAAATAAATGTAAGCCCTGCCTCTAAAAAAAGATGCATTAACTGTTTGTTCACTTTGCTCTTAATGTCTTAATAAAAAACCTTAACTTTACGCAAATGCTAAGAAAAAGTTTTTTGTAACTTTTGCTCAGCTACGCAAGAGTTATGGAAAAGTTGTGAATAAGCACCCTGTTTTTCAAAGTTTTATTATCAAATTCTTTAATAAGATTTCTATTCTAGAAAATCCCTTGTTGTCTCTCCTTACTGTGTGCACTACACAAAAATGACAATTTTTAATATTTTTCTTTCAGTAGTATTATGCACAGGGTTGGCAAAAAAACCCAACCCAAAAAAACCCAACCCAAAAAAACCCAAAAAAACCCACCTTAAAAAAACCCAATAAAACCCAAAAAAACCCAAAATATATTTGGGTTTTTTTAAAAATGTCCTATTTTACAACTGATAACTTTGATTTTAACACTTATAAATACTTTATTATCAGCAAGTGCAACCTTTATACTGTAATTACTCTTGTAAACACTGTATTTATATACATAATGGTATTTAGAATATACCCAAAACCGATCAATCTGTTTTTGTCGCAAGTTGGATATTTATTATTATTTTTAAACATTTAGCAAGTTATTATAAATGTTATTGAAATATGTATTAAAACATTAAATTAGTTAAATACTTATAAAGGAAATAAAAATCATTTTATTAACTAAATTTCAAGACATTACTAGTTATTTAGTATCTTTATTCTCCTCTTGAATGTCTATATTCCTTTATATTGGTATTTGGTCTTTTATTTTTTAAAGCTTATGTTGTAAACTGCAAATTTCAGTAGAAAGCCACAAGCAAAGTACTATATATAAAAATTATTAAACTTTATTTACAGTTTAGAAATGGAAAGTTGTCAGGCAAAAAAAAATGCTACAGTTTACTAGATTTGTTCTTAAGTACATACAACTTAAAAACTTAAAAAAAATTAAGTTATGTGCAAGCAAGTTTGCAACATGTTTGCTCATTCAATGAGAGAACATGTTGAAAAATTGTATGCATTTCACAAAGACAAGATTTGTTGGTAAAAATGACACTCATGCTCATCTGTCTTTTGATAGGTTTTGAATATTTTGCATTAGCTACAAGTTTACAACATGTACCACCAACAAGGGTGACTATGAACAGCAGGTTTAAAATTAACATCAGTATCAAGTTGCTAAAAAGTGAAGAAACACACACAATAGAGCTGTATAATGTGTTACTTTGATTCAGTTCGCAATTTGCATTGCAAAACTGAGCCGGTAAAACATCTTCAAGGAAAAAAAAAAACTTGGTGGCAAAGACACTGTAATGGTTCTTTACAAATTTATTTTAGATATTTTAAGAACAACTAAAGTTTAGGCAAAAATCCATTTTTTGCCAGTCCAGTTGATCAGGTGGATAACTTTTTCCGGAAGCTGGACAGTATAATGTTCTGATAAAAAAAAATGTAGTGATTAGGCTAGCAGTTTTCTTCTATGATATAAAAATGTTTAAAAAGTGTTCATAGTCAACTTGATTCATAATAACTTATAAGGTTGCAACATCATGTTGCAAACTTGTTGATTACATGTTGTAAACTTGTGCAAAATAGTTTTTGAAATGATATGTTGAACATGTTAGTATAAAAAACTAGTTTGCAACATTTACATTGTCTTACCAACTTTGAGTAACTCAATTGTCATAATAATTTTTATACTGATTTTTTTTTAGTCAAAAATATTCTGAACGTATTTTTAATTTAGTGCAATTAATTAACATCATTTATAGTTGATGGAGTCCCTTTTTGCACTATAGGTAAAATGTGCTAGTAGACTAGTAGTAAAATATTTGGCTCGCAACCAGAAGGTTGGGGTTCAAATTACCTCTGCTGAAATTACTGTGCTCAATCTATTTCTCTGCACAGTGCCTTTGTTTAAAAATTTTAGTTGTTAATGTTGTTTGTTAGTAAAAATGGTAATGTTAAGGTTTGAGACAAAATTTTTTAAAAAATGAGTTGCTACCTTGACTGAAGTGGTCATTGGAGCAATAGGATGGTGAATTTATGAAATTAAAAAAAAAATTATTGTACTCATACAATTATAAAAATTTGGTATTTTGATTGGTTTTTAAAAGAACCCAAAAAACCCATAAAACCCAATAAAACCCAAAAAAACCCATTTGGGTTGGGTTTTTTAAAAAAACCCTGGGTTTTTTCCAACCCTGATTATGCAAGTTATCATGTACCTGATTATAAACTCACAAATCAAGGCTATCTCTGGCGAATTTGAATCTATGTTATATATTTTTAAGTGCTCTTAAACCTTACAACTGTTGTAATAACTAATTTGCAACTGTTATTACTTCATTACAAGCATTGACATTTTTTAATGTACTAATAGCATACATAGCAGTATGCTACTAGTACAATACATAGCAGTATTGCACTAATAGCATTATTAGTACAATACATAGTAATAATACATAATAGCAGTATTGTACAAAACATTTCATTAATACAATACATAGTAGAAATGCGGAGTCCTTTTGGGACTCCGCATCCCTGCTACTGACTTACAACTGCTATTGTTATCAATGGTTTAATTAATGAATAAGTTCCAGACTCAATAGTTGCAACTATTGATAAACCTTTTTTTAAAGTTTTGTCGTTTTGGATTTCACATTTGTCTCAAAACCTAATCTGGTGCCCTTCATGATCAATAGCTTGATATTTCTACAATATTTTATCAGTACAGATATTTTAGATTAATTATCTTTAAATTTCTTAATTATCGAAGGTTATTTATCTAAAGTTAATTCACCAGCTTGCTACTGCAAAAATTAGTGTGTGCAGTGTGAGTGGGTACAGACTGAATCAGTTTACAATAATCCATTTCCAGAAACAATTTTTTTGATTTTCGATTAATTCTATTGACTTAGTGTCATTAATAAAGTCATGCCATAAAATTTCATTTTAAACTTTTTTAGTTTGTTTCACATTGGGTGTGGTTGTTCATGCAGATTAGAAGAAATCCTTTTTAAATCTTATGAATTATAATTTTTTTAGCCAGTAAAGAAGTGTTATTTAATTATGTATATAATAAAAATAAAAATAATTTTTATTTGTTATTTTAATAGTTATAATTAGAGCTTTAATATATTAATATAAATATAAATTCATTTTAATTATAAATATATTTTTTATATATTATAATTATTTAATTATAGTCAACAAGATAACTATCAACTGGTGAGAAAGTTAGGTCGTGGAAAATATTCAGAAGTATTTGAAGGGATCAATGTTACTAACAATGATAAAGTTGTAATCAAAATTCTAAAGGTTTCTATTTTATGAAAGTTTAAAGATTATTATTGATGAGAATTGTTAAATGTATTGCTGCATGTTGCAACTGTAAGAAAACATGATTTAATTATTTTCAATAGTTTTTATTTACTTACATTACAAAAAAAAAAAAAATTTAATGGCAAAAGGCTACAGTGTAGATCCTCTAGATCTAAATTGTGAAAAAGCATTTGACACACCTTTTTTTAAACTTTTTTTGAACTGGTGAACTTTTATGTCATAAACTTTCTGATTTTATGTCTCTATTATACCACTTAATCTTATAAATTCTTATAATTTTATAAATTATTTTCTTACTAATAAAGCACACACCTTTATCTCACTTTATCTCATCTTGTTTGCATCTCTCAATAAATAAGAGATGCAAACAAGGTGATTTGATCTACAACTGCTAGATTGATAATAATCTAGAAAGTATTCATTGGTTAATGCTTTAATTAACAAGTACTTAATCTCTTATCTGGAATCTCATAACCTGATCATCAATATGGATTTCGATCTTCTCGTTTTACAGCTGATTTGCTATCAGTAATAACTGATAGGTTTTATCGCGCATTAGATAAAGGTGGAGAGGTTAAGGCCATTGCTCTTGACATTTCTAAAGCGTTTGATAAAGTTTGGCATGCTGGTCTTCTCCATAAGCTTTCTTCTTACGGTGTTCTGGAAACATCTTTAAGATTATTGAATCCTTTCTTTCCAATCGTAGTATAAAAGTTGTCCTTGATGGACAGCACTCTTCTTCTTATTCTGTAACCTCAGGGGTTCCCCAAGGTTCAATCCTTGGCCCTATACTCTTTTTAATTTACATTAACGATCTTCCAGATATTCTCACATCTAAGGTGGCATTGTTCGCTGATGATACTACCATTTATTCTTGTCACGATAAGAAGCTAACTCCCTCTGATTGCTTGCAGGGGGCATTTGAGCTTGAAAAGGATCTCACTTCTGCTACAGCATGGGGCTCGCAGTGGCTGGTGAACTTTAATTCAGATAAAACTCAGTTTTTTTCGGCCAATCGTCATCGCAAAAATTTAGACCTTCCTATATTTATGAATAGTAATGTACTCGATGAGTCTCATACCCTTCATCTTCTAGGATTAACTCTTACTTCTGATCTTTCTTGGAAACCTTATATCAAATCCGTTGCAAAATTAGCATTTGCTAAAGTTGCTTCTCTTTATCGAGCTCGTCACTTTCTTACTCTGGATTCTATTCTCTATCTCTATAAATCTCAAATCCGGCCTTGTATGGAATACTGTTGCCATATCTGGGGCGGATCTTCTAATGATACCCTTTCTCTTTTAGACTAGGTGCAAAAACACATTGTAAACATAGTTGGACCTGCTCTTGCAGCCAACCTTCAACCTCTGTCACATCGTCGTAATGTTGCTTCTCTTTCTCTTTTCTACAAATACTATAATGGTCACTGCTCTAAAGAGCTAGCGTCTCTTGTGCCATCTACTAAAATTCATTCTCGTGTTACTCGTCATTTAATTAAGTCTCATCCTTTTTCTGTTACTGTTCCTAAGTGCTCCAAAAACTCTTATTCGTCTAGTTTTTTTCCTCGAACATTAGTTCTTTGGAATTCGCCTCCTTCATCTTGCTTTCCTGATTCATATAATTTGCAATATTTTAAGTCGTCTGTCAATCGTTATCTTGCTCTACAATCTTCATCTTTTCTCTTCCAGTAACTTCCAACACTAATTAGTGGTTGCTTGCAACCTTGTTGGAAGCAACGATAATTTAAAAAAAAAAAAAAAAAAATGCCATAACTCAGCCCTCATTCTGTCTTAATTACTCAAAGACACTCTAAATCTTTAAAGAGTCCTTCAATATTTTCAACTGGCTCATCATTTACTGATAAAAAGCTAAAGGGTTGCTACTACTTTCAAGTGAGAAAATATTATTTATTTACTTTATACAAAATTTTAAATTTTTATTTATTTTTATTTTAACATTTACTCGCTGCAGCTTATTGTTATTAATATTATTACTACTACTGTTGTATACTGGAATATTATTAATATAATAATAATAATAATAATAATAATAATAATAATAATAATAATAATAATAATAATAATAATAATAATAATAATAATAATAATAATAATAATAATAGCAATAATAATAAAATAAAATAATAATAATAATGATGGTTATTTCAATCTTCAAAATAATAATAATAATAATAATTAAATTGCTTAATAAAAAATAATTTTTTTTAGCCAGTCAAAAAGAAGAAAATAAAAAGAGAAATAAAGATTTTAGAGAATTTAAGAGGAGGACCAAATATTATCACTTTATTAGACGTAGTAAAAGATCCTGTTGTAAGTTTTTAAAGCAATATGCATATTATGATTTCCTTGAAGAACAATTATAACAAAAATTCATATTTTATATTAAAATACATTTTTAAAATATCATATTTTAGGCTAGCTGAATAAATTAAGTATATATTTTTATTATTTTATTAATATACAATAATTTTCAAAACACTATCCTCTAGCTAGAAATTGTTTAAAATATTTGATGACTAGTATTTCTTATCGAAAATATACTGATTATGAGTTATAGAAATATTTCACTTAAAATACTCATATTCATATGAAATACTTATATCTATATAAAATACAAATACTCATATAAAATACTCATGCTCATAAAAAATACAAATATTCATATAAAATACTCATGCTCATTTGAAATATATATATATATATATATATATATATATATATATATATATATATATATATATATATATATATATATATATATATATATATATATATATATATAAAATACAAATACTCATGTTTATATAAAATATGAATACAAGCAATTTATTTTCATAAAATTAAGTATATGAAATTGACGAATTTACACCTTCTGTGCATGATCACTCATGAACTGCATTTAAACGATTTCTGTAATTTTATGATACACAGTGCAATCCCATAACTTTCTGGAAATCTTTACTAATATCTAGATTATTAAAAAAAAAATTAGTATACTGCTAAAACTTATGTTTTCCGAGAAATTAAAGTTTATTTATCTAGTAACTAAAATTTGCCTGGGATGATTCCACTTCAAGCTTACAAAAATATTTATAAATATTTTTACAAAATATTTATAAATATTTTTACAAAATATTTGTATAGATTAGAATTAAATAAGAGCAAATTGAAGATCTTCAGTTTTATTTTTATGAAAATAATAGACAAAACATATAGAGTTTCGGTGTATGATTATTTGGAAATGCCCTTACCATAATCTGTTGTTAAAGGATTTTATTTCTATGAAGACATTTGTCCCTTTAAAAGTTTATGCTCTTCACTAAAGAGGGTGGACAGTCTAGATAGTTTATTTTTTATGTTTTTTTTTTTAGTTTAAAGACAATATTTCTTACACCTGTTTTAGTGTCTTTAACCTTAAAAGCAAATCAAAATTTTATGGCAATAATTCATAAATCTAATTCTAAGTAGAAAATAAAAATAAAATATTCAAATTCTTGGAATTGATTGGTAAGACTCTATATGTTGTACGTTATGTAAATTCAGCTTTCCACAATCAACCAGTTTTTGTTATATTAATTATCAAAGCCTATAAAATAGTTGGCCTTTTTTATTTTTTGAATAGGCAGTTCTCAAAAAGTAAGAGATTTCTCAAACCTGAACAATCAATTTTTAAAAGTTATTGAAATCACAAGAAACATTTTTTAGATTTTTAACAGTTTTTTGGGAGGTGAATCGCAGTGGATTGATTTTTCTTTTTCTATCTCTTATCTTTTCAGTGAATTACAAATGTTTAAAAATGAGTTATTTAGTTCTAATTAATTTTTAAAAAGGTATTAACAGACCTGCTTAAAATATTGTGACAGAAAAACATGTCTTTTATATATTTTATATATAAAGATGTGTTAACATGTCTTTTATATATTTTTAATTATATATATATATATATATATATATATATATATATATATATATATATATATATATATATATATATATATATATATATATATATATATATATATATATATACAGATGTGTTAACATGTCTTTTATACATTTTATATTTTATATATATACAGATGTGTTATATTGAAAAGATTGATTGATTTTAATTATTTTTTATACTTTGTTTAGTCAAGAACGCCTGCTTTGGTATTTGAATATGTTAACAATACTGATTTTAAGGTAATTTATTTTTTGTTAATTTCTTTTATTCAATTTCAGTTTTGTTAAATCTTTATAGTTTATATGATGATTAAATCATGATATGATTGTGCAACCCTTGGAATTGATATGATTATGCAACCCTTGGAATTAGGGTCAAGATTCAGCAATGCCAATCTAACTGCCGGCCTGATAATGTTTGAGGTCAGCAATTTTTTGCCAACCTCAGAATTTTATTTGTTGTTTCAAATTTTATTTTTCTTTAATTTTAATTCACCTCCCCTAGGCCACGAAGACCATTATAGTCTTTGTGGCCTTGGGGAGGTGAATTAAAATATTAAATTTGGAACTGCTCACTTATAAGGCAAGTGTTCTACCACTACACCACTACCGCATAATAGATAAAATAGCAAAATGAAAGTTTTATTTTAAGCCTAAATAAAATAATTAAAATAAAGATGTAAAAATGAATTTTTTATTTAAATTCTCAATAAAATAATTTTAAAAAAAATTCGGCAAAACAAATGTTTTCTTTAAAATCTAAGTTAGTTAGTTAAAATAAAAACAGTAAAACAAATATTTAACTTAAAATTCTGAACAAGTTAATTTTAAAAAAAAGCAAACAGAAAAACAAACGTTTTATTTTTGAAATGAAATAGTTAAAATAAAAACAAAAGTTTTAATTAAAAAAATAATAATAAAAATGGCGTATCAAGCAATTTATTTAAATTCAAAATATAAATCTTTTATTTAGATTGTATACAAAACAATTAAACTAAAAACAAAATAAAAAAGAATGTTTTTTTTAAATTTCTAATAATGATAATTAATGCAAAATGAACGTTCCATTTAATTCTGAAAATGAGTCATTAATTTGAATTGTAAACAAAATATAAAAAAACAAAAAAACAACAACAAATGTTTTATTTATAAAATAATTAAAACAAAATCTGCAAAACCTTTAGCAGATGTTGATGAAAACTTTTAGCAGAAATTAATGTTTAAAACCTTTAGCAGATATTGTTTAAAGCTTTTAGCAGATATTGATATTTAAAACTTTTAGCAGATATTGTTTAAAACTTTTAGCAGATGTTTAAAAGTACATTCGGCGAACTCGGCATTAATATTTCTATAAGTTTTATGCTAAACTTTCGCATGTTTGTCGATTTGTCAAATCCTGTTTCAAAATTTATGTGATGACTTGATGTCAAGCTAAAACGGTTTTAAGTCGGCAATTTTTTGCTGACCTTATTTTTATTATTTCTGAGAGCTGATGATGATAATTGTGATGGTGATAATATGATAATGATTATCTTGATGAAATGATGATGTGATTATAGGTTTTTTTAGTTTTAGCTACAGTTTTCTATATTGGCATCTTTTTTTTTTAGTCAATTATTTCATGTTTAAATGAATGTCTTATAAATCTTTCCGGTATTGTCTTAGTGATGGCCCTTGGGTAGAAATCTTTCGTCTTCCTGCTGACAAATGTGCTTCTTACTTAACATCATAGATTCAGGAATGGCATGGTATCTTTTATTTACTCTTGACAATTCCAGGTCAAGCCTCACTCTTCTCCATGATTTTCCTCACATGTTGCTACTGCAAAACAATTCTCCAGAAAACAGATGTCTGTTTACTATTGCTAGAAACAATTGTAAAAAGATTTTGTTTAATGCCAAAGTCCACTATTCTCAGGTCATTTCATCACAAAAATTAGGCTCTCGTGACTTCTGGAGAGTGTTTAACAGTATCAATAATAAGGGCAAATCTGTTATTCCACCTCTCTTGTATGGTTCAGACTTTGTTACCTCACCTAAAGACAAAGCTGAATTGTTTGCTACGAACTTTTCATCAATTTTATTTCTTAATTCTACTAGTTGTGTTTTACCTGATATAGCTGTCAAACAGGTTGATCCATTGCTTGACAATCGTATCATTCCAGCTTCTGTATCTAAAGTGATTTCCTGCTTAGACTCTTCTACAGCTTGATAACATGCCTGTTGAAGTCTTGCAGAAGTGTTCTCTGGAACTGTCATCCATACTTACAAAAAAAAATTTGATAAGCAAAAGTTAAAACTATTTAACAAGTGCTTATTAGAGTCTTGTTTTCCGGCATGCTGGAAAGCGGCATCTGTTATCTCTATTTTCAAAAATTATGGAGAGCGATCTTCTTCCTATAATAAGCAAAATTTTTGAATATTTAATTAACAAACACTTAATCTCTTATCTTGAATCTAATAATTTACTTTCTGATAATCAATATGGATTTCGATCTTCTCGTTCTACAGCTGGTTTGCTAACATTTATAACGGATAGATTTTATCGTGCATTAGATAGAGGTGGAGAGGTTGAGGCTCTTGACATTTCTAAAGCTTTTGATAAAATTTGGCCTGCTGGTCTTCTCCATAAGTTTTCTTCCTACGATCAAATAACATTCTTAAGATTATGGAATTCTATCGTAAAAAATAAAAATATAAAATCCTATCGTTCCAATCGTAGTATAAAAAATGCCCTTGATGGACAGCACTCTTCATATCCTGTAAATTCAGGGGTTCCTTAAGGTTTAATCCTTGGCCCTTTACTCTTTTTAATTTACATTAACGATCTTCGCTGTTCGCTGATAATACTACCATTTATTCTTGTCATGATAAGAAGCCAACACTCTCTGATTGCTTAGAAGGGCCATTTGAGTTTGAAAATGATCTTACTTCTGCTACAGCATGGGGCTCATAGTGGCTGGTGATCTTTAATTTAGATAAAATCCAATTTTTTCAGTCAATTGTTTTTGCAATAATTTAGATCTTTTTATATTTTTGAATGATGATGTACTCGATGAGTCATCTACCCTTCATCTTCTAGGATTAACTCTTACCTCTGATCTTTCTTGGAAACCATATATCAAATTCATTGCAAAATTAGCATCTGCTAAGGTTACATCACTTTCTTACTCTGGATTATACTCTTTATCTCTAAATCTCAAATCCGTTTTGTATGGAATACTGTTGCCATATCTGGGGCTGATCTTTTAATGATGCCCTTTCTCTTTTAGACGAGGTACAAAAACAGAAAACATAGTTGAATCTGCTCTTGCAGCCAACCTCCAACCATTATCACATTGTAATGTTGCTTCTCTTTCTCTTTTCTACAAGTACTATAATGGGCACTGCTCTAAAGAGCTAGTATCTCTTATTCCATCTACTAAAATTCATTATCTTGTTACTTGTCATTCAATTAAGTCCTTTTTCTGTGACTATTCAAAAGCTCCAAAAACTCTTATTCATCTTTTTTCCTCAAATATCAGTTTTTGGAATTTGTCTATCAGTCATTATCTTGCTCTACAAACTTCATCTTTTCTCTTCCAGTAACTTCCAACTCTAATCTTGGTTGCTTGCAGCCTTGTTAAAGCAAAGATATTAAAAAAAAAAATTAGAATTAAAATTTTTTATAAAATTTTATTTTTAAAAAAATTGACATTGTTTACTAATCAGTTTTTTTTTTTTATATATATTCATTTAATTATTATCTAAACATTTTAGGTTGAGCTCTATATGCAAGTTTTGTGCATATAGTGCACTAAATTGCACTAAAATTATTTTTAAGACAAATTGCATTATAATTGTGAAATTATAAAAATTGTATAATTATTTTAACACACACTAACATAGATAAAATGTATAACACACACACACACACTAACTTAAAGTTTGTAACGCACACTAACTTAATTGAAATTTAAAACACTCACTCTGTTAATTAAAATTTATAATACACATTAACTTAATTAAAATTTATAATACACACTAACTTAATTAAAATTATCACACTTACATACTAACTTAATTAGAATTTATAACACACACAAACACACACACACTCACACACACACACTCACACACACACATACATACTAACTTAATTAAAGTTTATTACACATACTAACTTTATTAAAATTTAAAACACACACTCAATTAAAATTCATAAAACACACTAACTTAATTAAAATTTAAAATACACATAAGCTCAAGCAAGTTAAAATCACTTGTTCCATCAACAAAACTTAATCACTTGACTTTTCATTTAGCAAAGTTGCATCTTTTTACTAAAAGTGTTTCTTCATTGTCAAAAAACTTTAATTCATCTAGTTTTTTTTCCTTAAACATTGTTTTAGAATTCTCTGCAATGTTTTACTGATTTATGCAGTTTACAATTTTTTAAGCAAATATAAAGTTATATCCTTTAAATAACAAAACTGTTTATCTCCTTCAGATAACAATACTGGTTATCTCATTCAGATAACATTTAACTTAACATTAATTTAATTTAACAGATAACTTTTTTTTTTTTTTATTATCTTTGCTTCCAACAAGGCTGCAAGCAACCACTAATTAGTGTTGGAAGTTACTGGAAGAGAAAAGATGAAGATTGTAGAGCAAGATAACTTATCACAGTGATAGTATTATAATATAATATTTAAATCTTTTAATGATTTTTCTTGTTAGATTCAGAATTGGTGTTAATGTCAAATATTTTATTAATAAATTAATTGATTTATTGTTTGACTGTTATTATATCTTTATGTATTATTATATGCTAGAAATTTTTTGCTATTGCTGTTGCAATTTTTGATTATTTCTTTTTTAACAACATTTTTGATCTTAGCAACTTTATCAGCAGTTTCGGGATATCGATATTAGATTTTACCTGTATGAACTTTTGAAGGTTAGTTTTTAAAAAGTTATTATTTAAAATGTTGAAGTATTTTCTAATTTTTTGTCAATATTGTTTATAATACTATAATACTTTTTAATATTTTAGGTATAGTTTCTAAAATATGCTTAGTTATAATGTTTTAATTTTCAGGCATTAGACTACTATCATAGTATACTTAGTTATAATGTTTTAATTTTCAGGCATTAGACTACTGTCATAATATGGGGATAAATATGCTTAGTTATAATATTTTTTTTTCAGGCATTAGACTACTGTCATAGTATGGGGATAACACATCGTGATGTAAAACCTCACAATGTAATGATAGATCATGAACAGAAAAAACTACGACTTATTGACTGGGGACTAGCAGAATTTTATCACCCATCTCAAGAATACAATGTAAGAGTAGCATCACGATATTTTAAAGGACCTGAACTTCTTGTAGATTTTCAAGAATATGATTATTCATTAGATTTATGGAGTTTTGGATGTATGTTTGCTAGTATGGTAAGTTCATACCCAATTAGATAAAGATTAAGTTTTGTTAACCCACTACCACTTGTTACCTTTTTAAAAAGTCTTATGGGGCATATTTATTAAAAATCTTATCTTTTTTTTTTTTTTTTTAAACAAAATAGTATACCTAAAAAAGTCTATATTAAAAAATTATCACATATATAAAAAAAAATTATTTAATGCATCATGATTGCCAAATATGTGATTTTTTTAGAAATTGAATGTTTTTTTTTTTTTTTTTTTTTTTTTTTTTTTTTTTTTTTTTTTTTTCTCTTGCAATAGTTGTAGAAGAACAAAAAAACATTTCATAAAATGGACAGAACTGATAATAGTGTAATTTGGTTTACAACTATTGAAATTGTAAAAATATTTTTAATAATAGTCAGGTCAGTTCATTAAAAGATTAAATTAATGATTGAATGAATAATTTTTTTGTTACATAAAGTCCATAATGGACGTCACCATTTTTAAGTCAATTTTTGACTCCCTCACTTTGTCACCATTTTTTTTGTTGTTTTTTTTTTTTTTTTTTATTTAAACAAAATCTGTTCTTAATTTAAGCATTTTTGTTGACATTTTCCACATGTGAATTACACTTTTTACATGTCATTCAGTAGCTTATTGGGTATTTCCACATTTGTTGTTTGTTCTTGTAGGCCGCCCTGGAAAAAAAAAATTATACTATTTTAATTTTATTTTATTGTCCTTTCAAAGATTTTTTAAATAATCGTCAATTGATGTGATCGGAATTGAGCAGTTGATTTGTCTGAAATAGTCACATCATTTGGAATATTAAGGGCCCTCCCTTTTGATTTTGTCCTCATCAAACCATTCAGCAAAGGCCACATTTTCTTCTACCACTATTACACTGTTAACTCTCTTTTGCGCTTGGTAGTAATACAAATGGGTCAAATTTATTTTTAATATCAACTCTTTATCAAAATATATTTTGATAAAAAATTGATATTAAAAATAAATTTGAATACCTTGAGAGTCTAGATGAGTTCCATAATTATCATAAGGGAGGAATAATCCTGCAAACTCTTTACTTAGTGGATCCATCCTTCTCCTGGCTCAATTGAAAGCACTTCATCCTGGCACATTCGTTATAATGAATAAAATATCCAAATCATTTGTAAGGAAAGGACGAGTTGCTGTAAACAAGATAAATATATAACTTAGAAGAAGCATAAATAAATTGATATATCAAGATAAAAAAATGTGAAAGAGAAGTCTATACCAATTTCAAAGACTTGAGCATTTTGTGGATTTTTGTCCGGCCCACCATCAACAGTGAAAACCATCACTGACTTGACCAACTTGGTCAACGGGTCCTTTGTAATGGAATCAAACTCTGGCTAAATTAAATGTCATTCAAAGTTTAATCTGTGAGCATACGCTGTCTATTTTTATGTTTATGAATGTTTTTAAAATATGTTTTTCAGAAAGAACAGCAACATAAGTAGGACTAGAATAGGAAACTGTATCAGATTTTCCAAGTTGATCTGGTTTGATTTCGATGCCTGTGTAGACATATGAGATGAGCTTGTACTTTGTTGCAATGATCAGGAAGAGAAACTTGATATTCCATATGCATTAACATAGGAGCTTGTTTGTTAGCAGCAGCGATTCCAATCTGTATCCGAGCTTATACTGCAACTATAAGGAATGCGGAACTTCTTCCACATTCTTTATAGTTGCAATATAAAATGGACCATCAACGTAACTTGAATGGAGGTTGTTTTGGGCCCACATTAATTTGACTGGAACCTTGTGGGCATGTCTCTTTCACCAAACGAGTTGCTCTGTTTTGGCATCAGCCTAGTACAGGCTTGGTCGGGAAGCGGGAGCGATCGCCCTCGATTGCTGACCACGTAAATAATATTTAGTTGCGAAAAGCTGGCCAGATTTTTTAGTCGTTTTGAGAACATTTTAAAAAGCAAAAAAAAAAAAAGCGACTAAAATAAATTGGACCGATGAGAGACAATTACAAAAAAAAAATGTAGGCAAATAAAATATCTTTAAACGCGAAAAAACCTTAAGCTAAATAAATTACATTTAGAACAAATATTTTCTTAACATCAGTTTTTTATAATTTTTTTTATAAAATTAAGCGATGTTTTTTATATAAAGTAACAACTTACGATTGTTTAAAAGAGAAACAAATATTTTTTATTTAACTAAATTTGAAAGTTTTAGTTTTACTTAAGCTTAATTTATTTTATAAATAAAAAAATTAATTTTTTTAATACCTATTTTATGTTTCGCGTAGTTTGAAAAGTTTAACATATTTGAAGCGATTCTTCTTAGTAAGATAAACAAATAAAAAAATTAAATCATTGAATTATTATAGGAATTAAATTATCAAGATAGAAATCAACTAAAAAGGTTAAAAACACTTAATGACCAGGAAGCGAAACTGCTTCACAATATCGCTAATGATGTTTAGTAAGTGGGCTTTTTAATTTTAATTAGTATTTAAAGCAGAAAAAAGTATAACGAGTTTTAAGAATGGCAACTTAAGCGAAAATAATTAGAGTTAGTAAACCAATATCTAGAAACTTTTCTTTATATCTAAATATTTGCTATTATATATTTGTGTTCTGTCGTGACCTCAGGCGCGATGCTTGTTCATCCGCGAGTTACTTTTGTATGCGTTGTTTGTGTTTAGTAACCAGAAACTTCTTATATGTTTGTTACATAATTAGTTTTATTAACTTTAACGATTATAACTTCATTAAAAACGCAATTATTTTTGTAAGTCTTTGTTTAAATCATAAAAATTGCTTTAAAAGATACATTACGATAAAAAACAAATACACAAAATTACATTTACATAAAGAATACAATCTCTTTTAAAATAAAAAATCAGAATATACTAATAAAATCTATGATTTATAATAAACTTTTAAAATTTTAACAATTTAATTAATATATATTTAAAACATTTATTTTTGTAAACAAATAATATATATTCTTAAAACAATTCAACAAATCTCAAAACGAGATTTATAGAATTGTTTTAAGAATAATACAATTTCTAAAACATTTTAACAGAATACTCTAGAACTTTATTTCGCTTAATCAGCGTATTTTTTGAACCAATAGTATTAGTTTGTTTTTTAATTTGGCGGGTTTTTAGTGTTCGCAAATATTCTTTTTATTCTTTCGCACAAAGATGTTTTGAGAACATTCAAGTTTGTTTATATCCGTAAAACAAAAGTTCTTTGTTTCGTACATAAACTTAAATGTTCTCAAAACGACTAAAAAACCTGGCCAATTTTACGCAACTAAATGTAATTTCCGTGGTCAGTATTCAAGAGTGATCGCTCCCGCTTCCCGACCAAGCCTGCTAGTATATAAATCACTTCTGCTAAAATGGTAGTCTCTTTTTTCAAGCTAAGCACCAAAAAGTTATAAGTGAATAAGTTTAGAGGCTAAAAAGTTAGACCAATAAAAATTTTTATTAGCTAAAGTTTTAGTCTCATTTCAGATCTTATTGTGGGCAGCCATGGTCAACAAGTTGAATAATGGCGTGCATTAGCTCAGATTGTTCTAATTCAATAGTAGGGAGACCAAATCTGTCACATACTTTAAAAGCTTTTTTCACTTCTGGTTGGTCAGGGAAAACCTGCAGCACTGAAAAGAACTATAAAAATTAGTTATTATTAATTTTCTAAAATATTATCATTGTAACTCATATGATGCAATAATATTACCTTATTCATAACAGTTTTCTTTTCAGCACCTTGATTTTTGTTTTGACTTTATATTAATTAAAATTTTCAGATTATTCGTGAGTTCCTGTATCCTGGCTTTTTTTCTTTTTAATGGTTTTTTTTTCAGCATCATTTAATAGGCCACTTTTCTGCTCTTTATAACAACTATTTCTTAATTCAAAATGAGGATCTCTGCTTTGATTGTCTTGAGCATGAGTTTTGGTCTTTTTTGTCTCAATTTGAACTGTGCTAGGGTGTCATTTTGAAAGGCATCTGATGAAGTATCAGCAATATCTGCTTAATAAATTGATCTGAATCAGGCTGAAACTCTATGGAAGAAGAACTGGCAGGTTGCTTGATTGTTTGCTGGGCCCAAAATGACATTAAAGAACCTTTTTGTTTCAAGGCCATTGAGGTATACTTTTGGATCAGAGTTGTCTTTACTTGGACCTCCAAATCTTGTTTTACTTTGATCTCATTCCATATTTATGGACTTTTTTTGACAATCTGTTATTTTTTTCAACTAATTAGCATTATTGTAAAATTTTATAAATGAGTTTAGAAGACTATTTTTATCCATCTTCCGATATACAGATAACAATGATGTTTGACACTGTTGCCACACTTTTTTAAAAAAAAACATAAAATATGTTCTGTAATGGTTGCTGCACAATCAATTTCCTTTGGACAATCATTTACAATATTCGCTTTAGACAATCATTAACAATTGCCACACAAGCATCCTTTTGGACAAATATTTTTATTACTCTATTTAAAATATCATTAATGATAGCAAAACTTGTCATTGATGATGTCCTTAGGGACAAGTTTCATATAAAGAATTTGTACATTAGTTTAATAAAAAACTTTTGTGCTCAACTTTTAATATTTGATATATATATATATATATATATATATATATATATATATATATATATATATATATATATATATATATATGAAAATAAAATTTAAACAAATGAAAACAAAATATTCCCTAACATTAACTTCATAAAAATACATGTTTACATTTTTATTGTAATAACAATATTTTTTTTTAATTTTCCATGTTAAAACTAAAATAATATAATTCTATATAGTGACATCTTTTTCTGATGATGACATCCCCCCTCCACTTTTTTTTTTTTTTTTTTTTGTTCTTTTTATCTCGAGTGAGGAAAGATACAATGATTTTTCATAATTCTTAAAGAATGTTATCACCTAACCTTTTTGTGTACTTTTTGAAACTCTGCTGTTATCTTTTAGTTAAATGAAGTTGAAATTTTATGCTATTTTATTAATAGCTATTATAAAATTTTTCAAATTTTTCTGAAGCTTTTTTGTGGTTATTTAAAAGTATATGAATTTATTGATATAAAAGTATATTGCTATTTAATTGTATGATGTTGTGTGGTATGGTATTTTTCCAAGTTCATAAATAATTTCTATACAAATTCTTAAACCCTTCATTAAAATTTCAATCTAAAACATGTTTACACTCAATAAATTCATTTTTGTTGTAAAAAAAATCATTTTTTCTTTCAAAGGAAAAAACTTGCTGCTTATAGCTTTTTCAAATAAACATTGATAACTGGCATTAGATATCATCCTAATTATCCCCTATTTCCTTCATACACAGTAAAATTCATCATACACAAAAATATCATACACAGTAATATTTGTGTGCAGGTTGGTCTCCCTAATAGCAAAGGACCAGCCTGATCTGATTTGTTAGTTTATTTTGATTGAATTAAAGCATGAAACTTCACTATAGTTTCATAAGAAAGATTAGATTTTTGTTGTATAAATAAATTTGCAAAACTGCAAAAATGTCAAGAAGATTATTATTACGTTTTTTAATCATTAGAAGAACTTTTCTATATGTAGAATGATTTGCTGGAAAAACTTCATTGTAATTCTCAATAAATCTATATTCTTGCATGTATTGAGTTTCTTTCTTGAGACTTGAACATTTTTAAAAGCACTAAGTTTTTAGTGTGATAGAGCTCTGCAGTTTGATAACGTATTTTGATACTTGATTTTTATATAGTATTGAATTTCTAGGGTTTTGTTTTAGCAAAAGGTGAAAACAATTAAAACAAAATTAAAAACAATCTTCAGATATAAACCAAAATAAAAAAAACTTTAGATGAAAGTTTCGAAAACCTTTATTGTGAAAATAAAGAAGTTTTTTACAGTTTTTTGAAACTTTGTTGGAAATAAAATGGACCAAATATAAATTACCTTTAGACTAATAAATTTTAAGATGAAATTAAATATGACTTAATACGATTATTTTTGACTAATGACTTAGTATGATTATTGACTAATGACTAAGTATGATTATTTTTGATTATCAACTTATATAATAAATGTGATAGTTGCTTTTTATGTTTGTGATCTTATTTGTATTTCATGTGATGTTATTTGATTCATGCCAATATATTAAAAACATTTGTCATATTCATTATCACATTATGTATTACCACATTTGTTATTTGTTATAATTGTATAATGACTTAATTGTTGCGTATCATAAATATTGAGTTTTATTGTTGTTTTATTTTTCAATTGTTAGTTCAATTTAAAGTAATCATGAAATTTAATATGTTTGATCAACATTTTATTTACAGTTTTATTTTTGTAAATATTTATTTTAGATATTTAAAAAAGAACCTTTTTTTCATGGTCACGATAATTATGATCAGGTAATATTTTTGTTATTGATACATCTTGTAGCCCAAAAGCTTTTCTATATTTTAAAGCTCCAAAAACTAGAAATAAGTAATTTTTTTGTGACTTTCCAATCCGGAGTCCTTTTTTGGACTCCGCATCCCTGCTTATGACACTTAAGACTGTAGCAGCACTCCTACTGCCAGTAGGAGTGCTGCACTCCTACTGCCAGAGCAGCACTCCTACTGCCAGTAGGAGTGCTGCTACATCGACTGAGGGTTTGGCTTAGTGCAGCAATCTTTTCTTTTATTATTATTATTTTTTTTTTTTTGTAAAAAATTAAAGCGCACGTTTTTAAAAAAGAATTTTATGGGTGATGTTCTGACCAATTTATATAAAACAACTTTTAATAATTTCCCAGATATAAATACTTTTATGGAATGGTCTATGAGACTAGTTTTAATTTGAAAAAAATTTGAGTTTAGTAGTGAAAGTAGGGTCAAAATATTGAAAAATAGTATAGTATTTCAACTTTAGCTAGAAAATTGATATACAACTGTTTACATGGTGGTCTCAGTATTTATTGAAATTTAATGTGCTCTAGAAAAATGGAGTCACCACAAAAAGACTAACTTAGCGCATGAAAATTCTGGACAACACCCATGACTAAGATATAAGATTTACTTGCCCAAACGCAAGGGCAATTAGTTAACAAAGTATTTTACTTTACTATCTTCTTATAAACTCCAATTTATCCACAGATTTAAAATTTCCTTTAATTATCTTTAAGAGTTATAACATTATGACCATGCAAAATTTACAACCCCCTCATTTTGATGGGGGTGTAAACTTTACATGTTCAAAAACTTTCGAACCTTGAAAGATAATTTAATGAAATAAATAAAGCATTATCTTTTAAAAGAAATTACTGACCTTTTATAAGAGGTAATAAATACAAGCATCAACGGAAATAATCAGATACATCAGATAATGTCATCAATATTGATCAATTTAATAAAAACTTTAATATAGATGTTGAAATTGACTAGAATAAATAATGATAAAAATGCAAAATTTTTACTTAAAAAATAAAAATAACTTTGAAAATATTCTTTAAAAAAATTGTGATTTTTTTTTTAAAAACTACTTATTTGACTTTTTTAAAGAAACTTAGAGGGGTGTACACCCAGCAAACATTTAGTCTAAAAAAGACGTCTTTTAGATGTATAAAAAACGTCTAAAACGTTTAAAAGACATATTTAAGACGTCTTTTTTAGACTAAATGTTTGCTGGGCAGTGGGTCAGATATCGAAAAAGCTGGTCAAAATATAAAAACGTTGAATGATTTGCCTAAAATTTCATGGTAAATATGTTTTGAATTTACTGATTAAGAATTTGTTGAAAAAAAAGATAAAACAAAATGACAGATCCAATATGGCGGACATAAATGTTAAAAAATTGTTTAAATTGTTCATAAATAGGTTTTAAGGATTCTTTTAGGCGCAAATTAAGAACTTGACAAAAAATAGTTTAAGAAAATTAAAAAACAAAATGGTGGATCCAATGTTTCCATAAATGCTAAAAAATGGATCAAATGATAAAAAATAGTGTTAAATATAGAAAAAAAATTTTGTTTCAGTTACAATCACTTTGGTTCTTTTTTATCTTTATCTGTCTCTTTGTTGAAATAATCATTATATTCAAAGTCTGTTTCCTCCGCATCTGCGCCAGACTCTTCATAATCTTCTGCTACAGGAACCAAGAGGGCAACGGCCTCTGGCAACAAAGTTTTCAATTTTTTTGGTCTTGATTTTTGTAGAGATGAAATTTAGGGTCTGTGGTTGCCAATAATCACCTGAACACATCTTCCATATCTTAACTCTTGAAAATTTTAAGAAAAATCCAAACAGTATTGCGTGGATTAGTTCTTCGAAAACACCAATTATCACGGATGATGTTTGAGTGTTTTCAAAGAAATGTGGAATGGTGTTTCCGTCGTACATGCTGTCTAATCCTTGCTTTGGCATGTCAACTAAAATTCCTAGTCGCTGTTTAAAAGCTTTTTGGATGCTAACTTTCATTGTTGCTTTTTCCTGCTTATCTTCTTTACGCGCTTGTCGTTTTTTCATATTTTTTTTTTGTATCCCAAATGAATATAGCATTCAAAACATCAAATCCAGGCGTGTAGAGTTGACAATACGTACTGTAGATAATCAGTGGTTACAGGTATTTGCAAAACTTCATCAATGTTATTAAATTGCTTGGAAGTTACCTGGCAATAACAGTGTTACGCCTGGAGATAACACCGTTATGCAGATTTTGTGTTGGTAATAGCATTGCATACTTTACCATCTAACATGGTCATACTTAAACTGTATTTAATGAAAACATTATTCATATGAATGGTTGTTTTAATAGTTGGGGTTGCTCAATCTGTTTGTCAAAATATATTTTCTCATTTAAAAAAGTTTCCTCGGTTTCCTTTTTAAATTGAAATTTCAGAGGTCTGCAAAAGAGTTGAAGATTGGTTCGAATTACTCCATAAAAGATTTTCTTCGTTCGTTTCTTGATTTACACCTTTAAGTAGCAATGGAACAAGCGAAGTTAAAAATTATCTTGCATCTAATATCTTGGATCTTCAAAAGTCATTTTATAAATGCTTTGTTCGGATGTTCCGACAAAGTCCCACTTACAAATCAAAGTCATATTCAATATTTCTGAATCACTCATATGTAATATTGGTTCAGCAGTAAAAAACGTTGAACAGTGTGGTCTAATAAAGTTTGCAACTGTAACTCAACTTTTGATTCAGTAAAATGTAAGGTATGGTCTGGAGGGTAGCAACATTTTTTTGCTGCCAATACAGCTGAGTATGGTGGATAAAGTGTTTTTAGGCTTTTTTTTTTTGCCTGATTTCTCAAATGCTGGTTCAAATCTTTTGTCAAAATTAGGTCTTATAGAAGTGCTAGAGCTTCATTTGCACAATAAAAGGCTGGCAATGGTAATGATAGTAGCAAGTCATACTTGTATTTTGTTGCCTTGAATAAAAATGACAGTGTAACCTCATTCACAATCTTAACAGCGTCTGAATGCCCTAAAGATCAAAAACTCATTTTCCAAGAAAGATCAGAAGTAAAAGTTAATCCTAGAAGATAAAGGGTAGATGGCTCATCGAGTACATTACCATTCATAAATATAGGAAGGTCTAAATTTTTGCAATAACGATTGGCTGAAAAAATTTGAGTTTTATCTGAATTAAAGTTCACCAGCCACTGTGAGCCCCATGCTGTAGCAGAAGTGAGATCCATTTCAAGCTCAAATGCTCCCTGCAAGCAATCAGAGGGAGTTGGCTTCTTATCGTGACAAGAATATAGGTAGTATCATCGGCGAACAATGCCACCTTAGATGTGAGAATATCTGGAAGGTTGTTAATGTAAATTTAAAAGAGTATAGGGTAAAGGATTGAACCTTGAAGAACCCCTGAGGTTACAGAATGAGAAAAAGAGTGCTGTCCATCAAGGACAACTTTTATACTACAATTGGAAAGAAAGGATTCAATAATCTTAAAGATGTTTCCAGATACACAGTAAGAAGAAAGCTTATGGAGAAGACCAGCATGCCAAACTTTATCAAACGCTTTAGAAATGTCAAGAGCGATGGCCTTAACCTCTCCACCTTTATCTAATGCGTGATAAAATCTTTCGGTTATTACTGACAGCAAATTAACCGTAGAACGAGAAGATCAAAATCCATATTGATGATCAGAAAGTAAGTTGTTAGATTCGAGATGAGAGATTAAGTGTTTGTTAATTAAAGATTTAAAAACCTTGCTTATGATAGGAAGAAGACTAATGGAACGGTAGTTTGATGAGTCGGATCGCTCTCCAGAATTTTTAAAAATAGGGATAACAGATGCTGCTTTCCAGCAGGCTGGAAAATATGACTCTGATAAGCACTTGTTGAATAATTTTGAAAGGATAGATGACAGCTCTGGAGAACATTTCTGCAAGACTTTAACAGGTATGTTGTCCGGGCCGCAAGCTGTAGAAGAGTCAAAGCAGGAAATCACTTATGATACAGATGCTGGAGTGGTACGGATGTCGAGCAATGGATCAACCTGTTAAAAGGCTATATCAGGTAGAACTAGTGGAATCAAGAGATGATATTGATGAAAACAATTCAGATTTTTAGATGATTTTTAGCAAACAATTCAGCTTTGTCTTTAGGTGAGGTGACAAAGTCTGAACCATACAAAATAGGTGGAATTACAGACTTGCCCTTATTATTTGCAAAGTATTTCTTCGTAATAAGTCTTACCTCAAATGCCTGGCAACCAAATTTTAAACAAAATTATTTATTTTGAATAATACATTAATTTAAATAAATTCTATCCATACATCGTCTATAAAAAGAATATGACTTGAAGATTTAAATTACTGTATTAATACATTTATAATTACTGTATAAATAAAAATAAATTACTATATCAATACTTTTAATAATAATAATAATAAATGCAATTTTTATTTTAATCATCTATTTATGTATTATTTATGTATTTATTTATTAATTCATTTATTAAATACTTAAAAGCGTTGAAAAACATCTGAATAGAGTATGTACAATATTCGTGTTTTGATTTTTTTGATTGATGTGTAATTTTTTTATAATTTAATTATGAAGTTAGTAACTTTTTTACTAAAAAATACTTCTTAAAATTAATAATGTTAATAGACTTAAACTGGTTTGGAAACTCGGAACTTTGCATAACAAAAACTATATTAGGTTGAAAATGCAATCACGTGACATTGACCGTGCACAACATATACATAACATAATATTTACAACATAATATACAATGGCTGTAGAAGGAGGAAACTATAATAATATTTGTGATGCTTTTGGAAACTTTTGTAAAAGATCACGAACTTGAAAATTATGCTGAATCTATTTTAGAAGATGAGTACTTTTAAAGGTTTTAAAAATTGCATAAATCTAAAAAACACTTATCAACGATATAGTTGCTGAGAATGAT